AAGAGAAGTCATTGAGCATCTGAGGTCTTTAGAAAGGCTGATGAGTAGAATCCAAACCATATTAAAGAATTTAGATTTTATCCTGAAAATGGTTCTGAATGTCTTGTGTCTATGCATATTGGGCAGTACATTCTTTGTTTTTATTTTTTGTTTGTTCTGTTTGTTTGTTTGTTTTGATTACCTCCATTCAATTCTGTTACTTGGATACAAGATAGTATTTTTTTTTTCTTTTTTTTAATTGAGAGATTTTTGCTGTAGGTCACATGCACTCTCCAGAAAGACAAAAAGAGACAGAGAGACAGAAAGCGAGAAATCACTCCACAGGAGTGATGGCTATGCCACAATCCCTTCTCCTCTATTCTCCTCTCAGAATCTTGGCCACACATGCACATGTGGCTGGCATGAGTTTTGCTGCTGGATTTGAGACATGATCCACAGTCAACTACATGGGAGTTCAGTGACCTACCCATTACGCCATCTGCTGGTCCCACAATGTAATCTTGTTTTTAAAAAATCACATTTAACTAGGTCATCTCTATGCACAACTACCTGCATTTTATTCCTTGTTATTCTTCAGACTGAATCTAAATATTTAGGTGACTACTGAAGTCTGTCCTATCCACTATTCACCAACACATAACCAAATTTACCTCTTATTAAGATAGCATTTTAGTCAGATCCAGCTTCTAGTTATTTCCATCTTCTTTCTCTCTGCAGTTTCTATTCATCCCAATCCCTGATTTTGTTCCAGCAGTTTCTGCTTCAGAGTTTTAATCTTCCCAGACCAATTTCAAGTATTTTCTGAAGAGCTGACTCAACTTCGACTATGCTGAAGAAAAAGTACTGCTTGACCAAGATTTATACCATGCTAATGAGCTTCTTATGCCATAATTCCTTGGGAATTACACAGGGATTCATAACTATATACTTAAGTTTTTTTCCTTTTTCTTTTCTTTTCTTTTCTTTTTTTGAGAGAGATTTTTGTTATAGGGTGTATGCACTTACTGGAGAGACAGAGAGAGAGAAACAAGACACAACCCCCCATGGGAGATGGCAATGTTGCAACCCCTTTCCCTCCAGTCTCCTCTTGGGATTTTGGGCATGCACACACATCCACCTGGCTTGAGTTTTAAGCTGCCCTATCTGGGACTTGAACCATGGTAGACTACATGGAATTCAGCAACATAGCCATGATACCATCTGCAGATCCCCATATATGTAAGTTTTGACCACTCTTATCCCCTACTCTCTCCCCACTGCTCATGCTTTCCTAATATGTAGAGAATGTGCTTCCTAGATATCCTGCTTCCCAATGTAAGTACATCCACAGTGTCATGTATGTGTATACACACACACACACACACACATATATACACATACACATATGTATATATTTTTTTGGAGAGATTTTTGCTATAGAGCACATGCATTTACCAGAAAGAGGAGATAGAGATACAGAAAACGAGAAATCACCCCCCAGGGGAGATGACAACGCCACAATCCCTTCTCATCCATTCTTTGCTTGGGATCTTGGGCAGGCATGCACATATGCCTGGCAGGAGTTTAAGCCACCAGGTCCAGGACTTGAACCACGGTCGACTACATGGGAGTACAGTGACTTAGTCATTATGCCAACTGCTGATTCTTAATGTCATGTATATTAAACAGTCCAATAAATGTTTGTAGAATAGGGCCAGCTGGAGGTGGAGGTTAAGGTGGCTAGATCCCACCTGGTCAACTGTGTGGTTTGAGTCCTGGACTTGGTGTCTTGAAAAACATACTGGGCATGTGCCCAAAACCCTGAGAAGAGAATGGAAAAGAAGGGGTTACAGTGTGGTCGTTTCCCCTGGAGAGGAGTGCTTGCTTTCTCATTTTCTCTCTCTCTCTCTCTCTCTCTCTCTCTCTCTCTCTCTCTGTGTGTGTGTGTCTCTTCTGGTGAGTATATGCACCATATAGCAAAAAAAAAATTATAAAAAAGTTTGTTGAATATGTTATATGTAAGGAATATCCTATAATACAACCTCTTTAATAGCATATCAGCATTATGTGAAAGTAATATACATCTTGGGACCAGCTGTTCGCATAATGGCTATGTCATTGGTCTCCCACGTAGTCGACTGTGGTTTGAGTCCCAAATTTGGTGGCTTAAACTCACACAGGGCATATGTGTGTGCGTGCCCGAGATCCCAAGAGGGGAATGGAGGAGAAGGGATTGCAGCGTGGCCACCCCTCCTGGGGGGTGCTTTCTTGCTTTCTGTCTCACTGTCTCTCTGTCTTTCTGGCGAGTGCACGCGCTGCACTCGAAAAAAACGCCCCCCACTCAAAAAAAAAAGTAATATACATTTTTAAAAATTACTTATTTCTTGCAAACTGAGTTGGAAGAGAATCAAGATAACAGATTATGGCTAATATTTATTTAGATTCATATAGTTTATATGGTAAGTGGAACATTTTTAAAAAGTATTGTAATTCTTTCATTTGGAAGATTTTTAAAGTTGAACTTCCACTATAAAACATAGTCAAAGACAGGGACCAGCATTTAGCTTAATGACTGTGTCGCTGGATTCTCATGTAGTCGACTGCGGTTTGAGTACCGGACCATGGCTTAAACTCACGCCAGGCGCGTGTGCGTGCGTGCCCGAGATCCCGAGAGGAGAATGGAGAAGCAATTGCAGTGCAGCCATCCCCCCTGGGGAGTGATTTCTCGCTTTCTGTTTCTCTGTTTCTCTCTGTCTCTCTGGTGAGCACACATGCCCTATAGCACAAACCTCTAAAAAACCAAAACCAAAACAAAAATAGACATAAAATTAATTTAGAGTTAATTCTGCGTATTAGCTTTTAGAAGGATCGGAACAACTATCTATTCAATATCTATTATGTACCTCTCATCACAAAGCTAGAGACTTCACACAAATTATGTCTCATTAAATATTTCCAACATCTCCTCTCAAGGGAAGTAATTATTATGATGATGATTTTATAGCCAATAGCACTGTACTGTACTTCAAGTACTCCATCCAAATTAGATTCAAGTGATGAATCTGGGATTTGAATCTAGGTCTATCTGACCTTAGAGCCAAAGTTCTTTGAAAGGCTGAATAGCCTTTATGGTTAGCCTTTATGGTTAGAATGGCAACATTTAGAAATAAGTTAAATAAATTGATAATTTTGGGCAAGTAACTTACATTTTCTTGGACTCAGTTCTTCATTCTTATAAGTCTGCTGTAGATAAGGTTAAGAAAATCTTTTTGGTTCTAAGTTTTTTCGTGAAAAAGTAGCTTATATTTTCATAGTTCCATTTAAAAATCTCATGGCACAGAAAGTCAGATAGAAAAGCTGTGCACATGAATGGGTTCTATATTTGGAAGGTATAGAGTAGAGATTAATTAGATTATTAACAGAGTATAGTTAGAAGGGATGAGGAATTATAAACTTTTTATATATCTATTCTTTGATATGATTGCATAACAATTTGTAATGAACTATCTCTGTCTAAAAGACGGAAAACAATAACACTAGTGACAAATTGGGAAATAATCAGAAAATCTCTTTTCCTTATTATTACATACTGATTATCTAGTTACATAAATCTCAAAAACTACCTGATATACTTTTTACGCTTGGTCTAGGTTGTAAGATGATGTTACCACAACACATTTTGGCATTCTACTCTAGATATATATGCATGTTAGAAAAGAGAAGCGTGATTCTGGAACCATGTCTAGAATCAAATAATGTGTTGTGTACTTGTGTTTGCCTTCATTAACCTGAAAGTATAAATAATGCCCAAGTATATATTTTAGAGACTATTAGCCATGAATAAGTGTACTTTATTGATGGCTATTAAATAATGTCTATAGTAATTTTACTAGACTCTCAATACTGTGCCAAAAATATTATAACACATGAAAAAGTCTATAATAACATTACTGTCTAGAAAGGTTAAATGTACTATTAATAATTAAAGTTTCTCCTGTATTCTAAGGAATCTAGTTAAAATTATTGGGTATTCTTGGGTAAATTAGAACTAGTTTGAACCCATAACATGGAATAGACTGAATACAATGAGATATGAATATGCAGAATACTTTAATGATAATCAGTTCAAACTTTTTTCCTACAAATTAATTTCTGTTACCATTTGACTTTTGGGGAGAGAGAAGTTGAGTCAGTATCCGTAACTGAATGTTCTTTTCTCAAAAAGAAACAATCACCTTGAAAAGTAGTTATATTTTCTTATGCCTATAAGACTTTGACCATCTTGTCAGAGGACTGGGTTAGATAAAATGAAACCTTAGAATCAAGTCATCAGTATGACAGACACTGGAAGGCACAAACTGTCAGTACACTTAAGGAGGACATTTTTGGTGTATTAATTCACACCCTCAGGGTTCAGATCAGGCTTGTAGGACACCCCAATTAGAAAGAAAATCCAAGAAAAGATAAAAATGAACTCCAAGTTACTTGAAAAGATGACACAAGCATAAAAGAAAAACTAAGAAATGCCATGCAGTCTTAAAAAAATTGTCTTTACAATGGACTATGATAAAAATTCAGTTCTCTAGAGAGTCTTGTAAGCAAAAAAATCTAATAAGCAGAGAACGAAATCAGGATCCTACTCTACAACAAGTAGGCCCAACATACTTCTTAACGTGCAGCCCACAGCTCATAAGTACATCTCTGTAGCACATTTTTACACTTTCATACACTAAATAAATAATTCTAGATTATAGTTAAATGGCTCAAAATATAGGCTAATATGCCACACACACACACACACACACACACACACACACACAAATAACAACATTGAAAAATTAATTTAATAAACACATAGCCTATAAACAAAATTGTTTTCTCTAAGAAAACATATTTTGGTCATAACATAAAACAAATGTTTAGGGGGTAAAATATAAGATGTTAAGTATGCCGTAAATACTTCTGAAGGAAAAAGATCCTGCAAAACTCTACAGATACTGATCAATGCATCATCTGGCCGTTTGTATACCATAGTGCTACTTATGCTAACTAGAAGTACATTGTTGTAAATGAAAGGAAATCCAAAAATATATTTTCCCAGTTTTAGTTTTAGTGCAGTGCCAATTTACTACGTATGTAGTGTGAATAGTCAGTATTTAATAAATATGGAGGGTAATTCATACCTTAAATTCCTCCAAGATTTTGTAATTTTTCCCATGATATTCACAAAAGTTTTTCACTTCTTTGCACTCAGGACAGCATCCATTGTGTTCCACTTTAGTACACTTTGGGTGAATTTTAGGGCATTCTGGCTGGTCGCAAACAGGTCCATCTAGAGCACAGACACATGGACAGTTGGAATGCCCTGGGAAAAATCGTTCTCCCAACTTGTATACAAAGCCGCTGTCATCCACACACCCTTTCCCTCGATAGTCATCAAAGATCAGATTGTCGTTACTGGAGGTCTGGTCACCTTCATCAGCAGGGTAGTCTTCATGACTGATGGCAGCAGAGGTGACCAATCCAGGGATAACCAACAGAAGTATACAAGCTTCATGAATATGAAGAGCCATCCCCCTCCTCAAAGTCTTCTGGATGTGCTCTTAATTTTAGATACACTCAGCTCCTTCCATGGGAATACAAGAGGGGTAGGCTGAAAACAAATATTTAAAAAGAATAGTTTGACATATATAAAGAGAATATAGATTCATTTTAGCCTATGCTCTTAAACTGTTTGGAATAAATTTGGAAGGTATTAAGACCTCAAATAGATGGAGTGCATGCAACTATTTAGTGAAGTTTGAGGAGTTGATCTTTGGCAGTATATACATTAAAATTTGTCCTTTATGAAGTTATTTTACATAGGAACCTCCAACTTGAATTTAATTTTGAATTTTAAAGGTCTGGGTTAGTGTAAATTTTAAAAAAGTGTTTTTACTGAGCCTCAAAATGTGATTATAGGTAGCTATTTACAAATAGCACAAGAATATTAGAACTTGCTTTCTCTATTATTCTTTGAACTAGTCAGTGATAGAATGTATATATGTTATAATCATCTGTATCAAAACTCAAAAGATTAATGAACAAAAATGTAATTCTAAAAGAAAGAGAATAAATTGAGAGCTGAATTTAAATTATAATTGAGATGGTGCTAGTATAAAAACTTTCCCACTTATTTATGCTCAGAACTGGAGAACAACAGCAGTCTCAGTATGGGTTACTTATTTTAGAGAACATTGATCTGAATTTTTGGAACACATATAATAATAAAATCATCATAGCAATTACATAGAGAATAGAGAAAGGAAATTTAAAATAAACAATCCAAGAGAACTGTCTGTATTGAAAAAGATTTGTTAAAAATCAATTTATTTGTATTATTTTTGTCCACATCTTCACTTTATGCAGGAGGGAAGCTGCTAGTGGGCAGGAAAGATATATCTATGCTTTTTTTAACAGCAACTTGAATTTAGTATTTATGTAATCTTATTTGAATTAATTAATATACTGTAAATACCATTCACATGATTTTAAAAACATAACTCTTTTGAAATACCTTAAGTATTTGCATTTAGGCCATTTGCATAAAGATGCCAGCATAAAACTGTTTGTGGAAGCTACTTGAAATTGAAATGAAGTGTTGCATTTCATAGAAAATATGCCTATTAATTTGGTAACATTGACTCTTATAAACTTCACTTAGTATTAGTGCTTGATGTAAAGTATTGGTAGTGGGCTTTTACTTACATGTTTAGAGTAACTGACTCTCAAAAAGGTTCTGGGGAAACTGACTTTAGGGAGTAGTAGATAAGGAAAGTGTTGTCAAACAGTTCATTTATTTGTTTAAATGCTATTGGCTTTATGCCAATATTACTAAGGTTGTATATAGGACATTTTCAGATCATTTATAAATGTCATTTTTGGATTTATTTTCAGATTATGTTAAAAGTAATGATAAACCATGTAGTCTCTATCTAACATAGATAGTTGATAACTTTAAATAAGATAAAGATGATATTAGGGGACTTCATAAGCTATTATATTTGCATTTTAAGTTACATATGCAAATTCTAGTAATAGTAAAATGGAAGATAGTATATTCATGACCTTCTTTCTGAGAAAACTGATATTAGAATTCCTCTGATATTCTGATATTAGAATTCTTTTTGAGTAGGTAGTGATAAAGGAAATAGATTTCTTTTAAAAATATGTCAAAATAATGAGTCATGACAGGACAAGAAAATGCAAACCCATAATTCTACTTGTGAAGCTGGAAGCTCCCTTTGACAAAGCATTTCTTTTCCCTTTTAAATCATTACAGAGCCCACAAACATAACAGAAGCTTCTGAAATGAATAAATATATTTTACTAATTAAAGCATGCATTTTTATCTCTCTCACATATTTTAAAAGTTTATCTTGCAAGGAAAGGGAGCTCCTATGCTTCTTCATAGTATTCCAGCAGTATCTGCCAGTACATGCAAGATAAGCCACATAGAATGTACATATGATTCTGCTTCCAAAGGACAGGCAGAAAATTATCCCTTTGTAAGCTACAGGTAGGCGTTGACATGTTAGGTTATGGCAAATGTAAAATTAAAGGTAAAAACAGGGTGTAGTAGTCACTTTGTATAAAAATCCAACATGCCTTTATTATGTGAAACACATTTTAAAGTCTGCATGGAGAAAACAAGATGTTTTTAATTTCACAAAGTTCTTAGGCTATTTTTTTTTAAAAAAAACAGCCCTTTTCACAATAGAAATGCTTTAGTGGAATTTAAGAGTATTTATTTAAGAGAATAAACATTAGAGAAATCAAATATTTTTTCTGAGGGTTTTTAGTAAGAAAGCAAACACTGCTAAACTGAGGATCACTTCCCCGCTAAACTTTCCCCCTCCCCATATTGCTACATATGATTTAAAATGACTGCATCTATTTCTTGGATAAAACAAACATAACTCATGTCATAAGATAGACTTACCTAATCACTCTGGAGGTTAATGGTGGTGGTAGGGTCACAGACCAATATGAACTAAAAGGTCAGGTATGTTTTAGGAAGGCAGTTCCTCTTTAATCACCCAAATAATACATTTTCAGGCATGAATTAAAGGCAATCCATTCTCTCTACCTCCCATTTCAAAACAGTCAAGAAGCAGTCTCCCGCCCTTCCAGGGAGAAACACAGCAGACACACATAAGAAATATGCTTTGGACCCGTCTTCAGAATTCAAAGCAAGAAGCAATGCTGGTACTGTAGAAATCCAGACCCCAGTAGCAGAATCATGTTGAACTTATTTTTAGCATTTTCTTAGATCCTTCTATGAAATTTCCCGGCTGATTACGCCTCTTCCACACATGAGTTCACTTACACAGTGTTTGCTACAGCAGTAGAGGTGATTTGGCTAGGCTCTGAGGATCACAAACAGCAACAGCATGCTGTAGCTTAAAGCCCACTCCGCCGGCAATACCATCAGCATCGTCCACAATATGCTGCTTGAATACCCTCTTACACACCAGAAAATGCTAACTGTGGATGTGAAGGAGAGGAGCAACTTTAGCTGGGTTTCTGCATCACTGAGAGCAGTTTGCAGACTGCTGATTTGGAGCTCATTCTGCCGGCAGCCGGGAATTCCTCAGCACCACGGACAGCGCCAACAACTGGCTTCTCAGCCCAGCGCGGTCGAAATCCCCGAGCTGATTCTTCAGACCAGGCTGGAGTGTTCTCTCGGCGGTCGCACTTTATCCAGCAGATGCGTGCATTAGGAGGGGGAAAGGCATCCAATGTACCAGATACTTATTTGCATTGAAATTACAATAAAAATTAAAAAAATATATAGTAATTATACTTAATGCGTTTTTGGATGGGCTGCAGAGATGAAAGTTCCAGAAGAGACTTGCATTTAGATTTAAGTCATCTGCAGTCTCTGGTTATTATTAATAGATAAAGCATAATGATTGTCAAAGAACCTGTGAAAATGTATGCTCGCTGATTCTATGCAACCCTATGGCTATGGAAAGACTTTCCTCGTGCTGCATGATTAAACTTCGAGTCTTCCTGAAGCTTGGAATGATTAAAAAAAAAAAAAAAAAAAAAAGTAGCTGGTTTTCCTGCAGTTCGTTCTCTAACATTAAAAATCAGTCTCTTGTAATTCATCTAGTCTGTCATTAGGCGTCATTGTAAAGCTGTTTCTTCCAAACTCCTAGCAAAGATGCTCTGTCTGAATTCTTATCAGAATGAGAGAGAAGGGGGGAAAAATGTCTCAGACACAAATATATGGCAGAAAGTTATTTTATTGGTAACAGCATAAGCACTAAAATATATGTCCAAAGTATATTTTAAGGCAAATAATAAATGTTACCTGCTGGCATATTTAATTAGTTATTTACTGGTTTGGGACTACATGAGACATTTTCAGGCTTTAAAGGGAATACCCTCTGCAGTGGGATATGCTGACAGTCAAGACCACGTTCTAACCGAGCCGTCAGCGCCTCCGGAAAACAGATTCTCCCCGTCATGAGAAAACGCCACCGTGTGCGCCTCACTCTCGTGGCCCATCAATTTGTGAATCTGCCCAGATTTAAGATCTAGTAAATGGATAACTCCATTGCCACTCGCTTCAGCTAAAACTCGACCTGAGAGAAGAGAAAGAGAGAGGGCGAGAGAGAGGAGAGAGAGAATATCAAAGTTTTATTTCAAGGAGTCGCAGTTTATATACAATGGGATATTGTTTTGTTTCAATTGTGATTCAACAAACTCTCATTTTATGCTAGATGTTAGTCATAAATATTAACTAGATTCTGTCTGTGTAAGAATTTGAGTCAAAATTAAGACACATCAGTGATTCCATTATAAAATTTAAGAATAGGTGGTAAAATCTAATGCTCCCCTTACATTATAGGGAGATGTCATCAAATGTCCTGCTATTTTCTTTGTATTTGTAATTAGTAAATCATTCTGAGAAGATGAAACTGAAAGCAATTCAGCAAAATGCAATTCTTTATCAAATGAATTGTATGTTATAAAGCTTTAAAAGGCATAGTTTTCAAAAATTATCCACAGCAAAGGTATAATGTACATCTATATCTATATAGGTATATATATATTATGGATAATTCAGATTTTAAAATTTTTGTTCTGCTTTAAACTTGTTTATTATAATTGTGCTAAAATATTGCTTAAAACTATAATAATATACATTTCTGTTTTCAAAATCATGAGACTCAGGTACTCAACAAATTTTATTTGAAGTGAAGATAAATATTTACATTTCAGAATGAGGTGAGATTTTTAACTCTAACTTAAAACTCAAAGTTCTGTTCAGCAAAATTTTTGTTACATAATTTAGTTAAAATACAAAAAGTGTATTCTTATAATCTTTATATTGTATATTTTTGCCATAGGGCAGGTGCCACCACGCCCTTTATATTGTATATTTTTAAAAGTGAATCATTTCCTTAGATTGAAAAAAGGGATCCAATTTCAATTTACACTCTTATTAAGGCAATCCAGTGGCAAAACATTAGGTAATTTGGAGACAAGTGAAAGCAATACGTATATATTGTGTGTATATATATATGTGTGTGTGTGTGTGTGTGTGTGTGTATATATATATATATATATATATATATATATGTGTGTGTGTATATATATATAAATATATATATATATATTTACATAACATCAGTACTTAGGGTAAGGAAGTATGACATTGGAACTATTCATGGAATTATCTGGTCACACTCAGAGGGCAAATTATCATTTCAGTAATAATATTAGGAACTTTATCAAAGTCTTTTTAACATGCTAGGTACCATATTTGGTGCTTGATGTGGATAATCCCATACAATGCATACAATAATCTAATGATGAAGAAAATAGTATTAACTCCATTATGAAGATGAAGAAAGACAGGCTTGGAATAGCTTAGTAACTTGCTCACAATGACATCCTTGGTATTGCGGGGGCTCACATTTAAGCACTCACACTTTGCACCCAGATCCTGGATTTCTAGTTGCAATGTTTTGAACATACAGCATTGCATTCTTATCCATTATGCCATCTTGACAGATTTTAGGTAGGTGATAAAAGTATTATGAGGACAGAATTTGTTCATTTCAGAATAAAAATTCTAAAATGCTATAACCATAAATGCCATATGAAATATTTCATCACAAATTATACCCCAAATCATGATGATTATCTCTAAAACAGAGAAAAGTTATATAAGTAAAGCTAACCATGATAAATATGGCCTATTTGCAAACCTTTATAACTACTGGGCTTCTTCATCTAGAACAAAGCCTGACACAGCAAAGATCCTTAGGATGGATTAGAGTGTCCAAAGCAGCAGATGTGAATATTTATTATAAACCTTCTTCCACTAAGTCTTTGCTGACAGAGGCATTACATATGGATTCTACTTCTAGTCTGACTCTGTAGGCAATTGCTGTCTGTGACTTTCCAAGGAATCAAATAAATAACTGTTTCCTTATAGTCTTTATACAACATCTGGGTAAGGGGTAAATATTACTTTCTATTTTTGAAACCAAACAAAACCAAACAGTACCAAAGCCCACCAAAAAATGGGAAAAGATTTAGCTTTCAATCATTACATTTTGTTGAAGTCAAATCTGTACAAGTCACAATTGGAAATATTTATGAAGGTTTTTGGTAATTTCTAAAGTTTGTTCAATATGGTAACAAAAATGATAATATGGAAACTTAATAGTATAACAGAATTATATGACTCAGTGGGCCAGCAAGTGGTGTGATGGTTAAGAGTGGTTGGATCCTATATGGCCAGCTGCAGTTCAATTCCTGGACCTAGCAACTAGAGAAACACACCAGGCACATGTGTGTTCGTGTCCAAAATCCTGAAAGGAAAGATAAATGGAGGAGAAAGGATTGTGGCATGACCATCTCCCATGAAGGGATACATTCTCACCACTTTTTCTGTCTCTCTCAAGTGAATGCACAAGACCTCTGACAAAACCAACAGACAAAAAGCCACCATGTCTTAGGGGTTGATGTTTCAACATTGTGAATTAGTTAGAACTGATTTGAGTCAGTAAGTTTATGTTTTTGAGGTTTACCTGAACTAATTTTTAGAAGAGCATAAGATTCTGAAACTATCATAACTAACTTCTAAAATGTGTATAAATTTATAATCATGTTCAACTTTGCTTTAAGTATGTTAGATTATTTTTAAAATTTTATTCTTTATTTTATTTGTTATTATTTTTTTTAAATTTGACCAGAGAGAGACACAGAGAGATAGAAAGTGAAAGTGAGAAAGCAAGCCACCAGATCTGGGACTCGAATCATGGTCAGCCCTGCGGGAGTCCAACACCTTAACCAATGAGCCACCTGCCAGCCCCAGTATATTGAATTATTACACAGCATATACTACCTAACTTAAAATTTAGATTTTCTGGGAATGGGGACACTGAATTCTTTCTAGTTTGGAAAGTTTTCAAAATTACTTACTAAGGATATGTCAATTGCTGTATTAGTAGCTAGCTGGTATGAGAGGAGACTCATCTCAGTATGACTACTGGGAGAATTTTTAGAAAGTGGAGCATTTACAGTGACATACATGGGATTTCTCTAAATATCCTGGTGATTAACAATGAAAAACAAACCACAACACATGGTTTGTCACCTGAATGTCATATTCATGGTAATTTTAGAAAAATAGAAGACTTAATACATCAGAGCTTGCTCAATGTAATGAAATTAGGGCAGGAATAAAATTGTAAAAAGTGCTATGAGATTTTATGTGAAAGCTAAACTAAGATTGTACCTGTTAAATAAATATGCTTCTTTAAGAATGTGGAATAATGAAGCCAGGCCTATCCTGAGATGGATATCATACTTCAGCTGTGAAATGTTGGTTTCTTTGACCAAAAAATGAAAATTTTGTGCTAAGACTTCCCCTTCCAGACTCATTTCTAGTAGGTAGGGATAGCTCTGTGTCTGTTTCTCTCCATTTCTATCTGTATCTCTCTGTCTCTCTGTGTCTCCCTGTGACTTTTAATTTTTTTAATGTTTTTTGTTTTGTTTTGTTTTAAGGTAAAGTATTCTCTGGGCTCTCAAGCCTCTCCTTTATTGTGTTAATTGGTGCCCTTTGTCACTTTATTTAGGGAAGGTACAACCCAAGCCAGGCCTATTCTGAGATGGATACTATACTTCAGCTGTGAAATATTGGTTTTCACTTTTGCCTTTTAAAATTATAATCTTATGTTTCTTTTCATCTTTTTTCTTTGTTCTTTTTCGTTTTATCTTTTCTTTTTCTTTCCTCTTCTTAATTCTTTTCTTTTTTTCTTTACCTTTATTTATTTTCTGATCAGCCTCTATACACTCAATGACTAGACAGGTCCAAGTGAACAGTTTCCAATCATCTGAATATGATTAGGGTCAGACTATTTCTCTCTTCACCTTCAATATGATGCACAAAAAGTGAAAATGGAACAGAAGAAGGATTGCAGATCACCTCCTTCTGCTCCCCTCTGGATGCTCAGATTGAACTTCAAGAATTAGGAAGAAATGCTACATCTTTTTTTTTTTTTTGGAGAGGTTTTTGCTATAGGCCGTGTGCGCTCGCCAGACAGACAGAGAGAGACATAGAGACAGAAAGCGAGAAATCACCCCCCAGGGGGGATGGTCACACCACAATCCCTTCTCCATTCTCCTCTTGGGATCTTGGGCACGCACGCACACGTGACCGGTGTGAGTTTTAAGCCACCGGGTCCGGGACGCGAACCGTGGTCGACTACGTGGGAGTCCAGTGACATAGCCATTATGCTAACTGCTGGTTCCCGAAATGCTACATCTTTCAGATAACTAGAAATCACTGCAGGATCAAAAGAAATATAGGAAAGCAAGACAATACCTCTCCTCCAAAGGAAAAGAATAACACCTCTTCATCCTCAGGCAGTACAATGAAACTCATGGAAATGTCTGATAAGGATTTTAGTATATTCATAATGACAAAACTAACAGAGATGGAAGAGAAGAGGGACAATGAACTGCAGAAGAGGTAGGAGAAAGGAGCTTATGAGTTCCAGGAGGTGAGGAAATTCTTGCAAGATCTAAAAGAGGAAATACTCACTTTAATAAAGAATCAAATGGACCTGTTAGAGATGAGGGCTATAAAACAGAAAGTTGAAATCTCCCTTGAAAGTATTAAAAGCAAACTAGATCATACAAAAGAATTGAACCTCAGATGTAGAAGACAGAATTGCTGGCCTAGAAAAATCCACCATGAAGGCTGAGAAAATGGGCCCCCTAAATGAGAATAATACATGAGAAATACTAGATACCATTGAACGTCCAAACATCCAGATAATTGGCATCCCAGAAGACAAAGAGACTCATAAGGGCATTGAAAATTTATTCCATGAAATCCTGCAAGAAAACTTTCTAAACCTAGAGAGGCACTCAGAGATCCAGTACAAAAATACAAAGGAAACCAAATAGAATCAACCCAAGAAGATCTTCTCTAAGACACATTATAGCCAGAATGACCAAAACAACAAAGACAAGATACTAAGATTGGCAAGAGAGAAACAGCAAGTTACCTACAAAAGATGTCCCATCAGGGTAACAGTGGACCTCTCCTCAGAAACAATGC